CAATATAACCTCATATAAAGTATGAATCAGAACTCGAATACCTAAATAGACATATATATATATATATATATATATATATATATATATATATATATATCAGAGTGTGGAAGAAATGAATCCACTAAGAACAAGAAACATTAAGAATTATCAGCGGGGAAGAGGAAAGAGTAATAAGGAGGACATTAAATGCCGATTGACATTGCATTCAATTTTTTGCAAATTAAAGCTGGCTGGGAAGTATTGAACCTGAATTGAGTTCCACAGAGAAGAAGTACGAGAAAAGAAACTATTAGCATAGAATTTATGGCTACATCTAGCCAGCTCAATTGTAAATTGATGAGATCTCGACGCCAGTCTAGTAGTAAGCTTAAATTAAAAAAAGTCAAGGTAACATAGCGAAGACCTTATCCGAACAGTAACCATGAAAGTATTTATAGAAAAAACACAGGGAGACAACCTTACGGCAGTGAGAATGTGACTGAAGTTGAGCCGCCAGTTCATGACCAATAATATTATTACTTTGTTGGATTTTATCAAGAATGTCCATATGAATAGAAGGACTCAACAATATGTGGCAACAATATTCGAAGCATAGACGAATGGTGGACTTCTATATGTATATATCTATAAATATGAATGAGCTCAGCTCAAACAAGGCGATAGTGCCACTAAGACGCAAGGAGCTACTAGGAATGAAAGAGAATGAAATGGTTTTAGAAGGAAGAGGAAACCCAATCCTAAACAGGAAAAAAAGGGATAAATCTAATCTGTTCAAAAGACCAGAGAGGAGTATCTATTCAAGATCGATTCAGAGTTTCGTATTTCATCAAGAATCAAACAAGAAAGATTCTATTAATTAGGGAAAGTCTATTTTTTATACATTCTGAAATATTTAATTCAATAAATTAATATTCATCCTGTAATTATTAATTTAATCATTCGTTCCTGGATCCTGACAAGAATCAAGAAACTCTGAATAAACCTCCACTATGTATTATGAATTTAATTACTTCTTATATAATAATTACTGCTTTAGAATGAATTATATAAGCAATCATTATATATATATATATATATATATATATATATATATATGTTAAGACATTTCTATGTTTATACATTCTTTTTTATAGATACAGATATGTAAGTAAATGGTCTGCTTATAATAAATAGTATTAACAACATTTACCGGCCTAAATGTCCGAGAAATTTTCACAGAAAATATGTGTCCTCCGACAGGAATCGAACCTGTATCCTACACGGAATCGTCATATAGCCTGACGTGCTTTTACCGATTTCGCCACAGAGGAACGTTTCGGTTAGCAAGGTCGATTTTACTGTTTTTAAACTACAATTTTCCATAATTTTCTCACGTACATACATATCTGCTCGAAGCGTATCCAAATGTAAACAAATGGCGTCACATATTATGAAATGGACAAAGTCTGACAATTATTTTAATACATTTTTATGGTTATAAACACACACACACACACACACACACACACACACACACACACATATATATATATATATATATATATATATATATATATTCAGTTGTATGGATATGGGGTTGTGACTCTAGGTATAACGCTTTTGCGATCATCGGACAAACGGGTTTATTATTTAAAATTGGATCTATTTTTGTTTGACTATGTTTGGTAGTGGGAGGGGGAATTTACTGTTCGTTTGGGGTGGCACTCTCATACGCATAGACACAGATACATACGGGTGTACGCATTTTAGTTAACATAAACAGATCCACTCTGCAATCCGAGACTAGGCGCAGATACATATCAATGTGTTCGGTCATACATACATACATACGCAGTTGTAATTCTATTTCGGTGTCGAGACCTGAGCTTTTTATTATATGTAGCGATATTCCTTTCAACAAGAAGTGAGTAGGGGTGTTCTTGACGCTTTTCAGATTAACCCCCTGCGCCGTCAGAGAAACTTACACACATACACACATACACACCTGTAGACGCACACATACACTCCTATTGGTCTGGGCCTTATACCAGCACTTTGGTTAAGCTGGGTTCTGTTTGTGCGCATAATGATGATGATGATATTTGAATTTTCAACACTATATATATATATATATATATATTAAGACATTTTACGTTTATACATTCTTTTTATAGATACAAATATTTAAGTAAATGCTCTGTTTAGTTGTATCTATAAAAAGAATGTATAAACATAAAATGTCTTGAAATAATTGTCGGACTTTGTACATTTCATAATATATATATATATATTCCCTTTTATAGATAGGAATTTGTGACTATGGATTTCACGTTTTTGCGATCATAAGACAAACTGCTTCTTTGTTTTTTTAAATTGAATCTATTTGTGCTTTTTTGACGATGTTTGTTGGGAGGGAATTGCATTCTGTGCTTGTTCGGGATGGTACTCTCATACACATAGACACACATAAATACAGGTGTACGCATCTTAGTTCACAAAAAAGAAGCCATAAAAAACAATCCGAGTCTGGACGTGGCTTCTTATGTGTCACGATGTTCCTTTCAACAAGGAGCGGGTAGGGATGTTCTTAACGCTTTTCAGATCTACCGCCTGCTTCGTCAGACAAACTTACACTTCATCACACACATATACACACATGTAAGCGCGCACATACACTCTTATTGGTCTGGGTCTTTGGGTTCTGTTACTGATCATGATGTTTGTATTTTCAACGCTGAATCGTCAATAATACACAATACTTGTGTATTATTGACGATTGTGATTATGTTGATAATGATAATAACTCTGACATTAATTATTAATATGTTAATAATATTGGTCGATGTATTAACGTTAAATGTAGCCTTAATGATGATGGAAACGAAAGTACTGCGCATATAAAATAATATATATACTGTTGTGGATTCCGGGTTGAAATCCGGTACCAATAAATAACAAACGCCAGGAATGATTATATAAAAATAATGTATTAACGTAATAATAATACAAACTGGTAAAGCAGGTTAGTAGTTCCAGGAATACGGGTTAGTAGCAAAATATATATACAATCTTTGGTATTGAAGTATGAGTATGAGTGTGTCTATATTTCTGAGATGAGGTATTATATACATTATTCAGACTATTGTCCTCATCTTTGTCGCCATATTTATCACAACGTTTCGGCCTTCTTCAGGTGGTTGGAATGTCGAACTGAACTCTTTATTTCGCTCACTGGGATAGACTGTTCTAGTTCCACGTGACTTGAGGACATCTGGGTGTGAATTTATGGGTATTATAAACCTAATGTCCTCAACAAGCATTTTTACCAGTTCTCATATTGCAATTTTGCTGTTATCATTTCATGTTTTTACCAGAGCTCATATTGCAACTTTGTTGTTATCGTTGCTTTTCTCTGGCAACCTTTACTACTGGTTCCCATATCGTATTTATTTCTATGCTTGGTCGGCTCAGGAGATTTTTGTGACCTAGCATATGTGCCAATGGTGTTCCTTGTCTATGATCTCTACATGATCCCACAGTGGGCGGTGATCTCCCTTCTCTCTCCATATATGGTCAGCCACTCCTGATTTTTCCACTTCCCCTCGTGTTACAGCTTTCTGGTGTTTTTGAAGCCTTGAGGGGGCGGCCAGTCTCTCCTTTATATTTCTTTCCACAGCTGCACGGGATACACACAGACTTTAGTAATGTTCTCCTCTATGGGGGGTCTCACGCAAACGTTTTTGGTTATAATTCGGATTTGTTTTAGTGCATATTATATTTTATTCTTCATATTTCTGCTACACGAGTTTCGGGTCTCGAGACCTTCTTCAGGCAAATAAAAGGAGTCAATTTTTAAAGAAATAAATTTTCCTTATGTTCTTTTAATGTTTCATTGTTCATTTTCTGTATTTGAAGTGAACCTTGATCTCATTTCTGGACTGTTGGCAAATGTAAATTTCTTCCCCTAAGTGGTAATAAAATCATTACGTATATATATATATATATATATATATATATATAAGGCTGTATCAAAAAATTTTGATATATATAATATATATATATATATATATATATATATATATATATATATATATCAAAATGTATTTTGATATATATATATATCAAAATACATATATATATATATATATATGTATTTGGTTGGATTGATGTGAGTTTGTAACCCTGGGTTTCACACACACTTTTCACACACACACACACATATATATATATATATATATATATATATATATATATATATGTGTGTGTGTGTGTTTATCAAAATTAATTTTGATATATATATATATATATATTGATATATATTTTGAAATATATATATATAGGCTGTATCAAAATACATTTATATATATATATATATATCAAAATACATATGAAAATGTATTTTGATATATATATATATATTGATATATATTTTGAAATATATATATATAGGCTGTATCAAAATACATTTTGATATATATATATATATATATATATATCAAAATACATTTACATATATATATATGTATATATATCCAAACGTATTTTGATATATATATATATATATATATATATATATATATATATATATATATATACATATACCGGTCCCTTGCCACCATATTACTTGTATTGTGTTTTGGACGATCCGAACGAAGGGTAGTCCTTGTATGTTCGCGTTATTTCTGCGATCTTTGTTAGTTTTATTTGCAAAGTCGTTCATTCTTCTGCAATTAAATGGCTTTGTTCACTAAGTGAATTCTTTTAGAGCCGGAATTTTGTCTGCTTGATGAGCAACCAGCCGAGAAAAACGATGGGCAAATAAATAACGTCTAGGTAAACATGTCCTTCTTCGCTGCGATTTTGTCAACCAGAATAAATACGTGTGGACATTTATTGACGAATGGTTCACATTAGATTTGTGTCGAACTGTTGCCGTTCACTACGAATACCTTACTTTCGGAACAAGGATACAAATATGGGTCACCCACTGGGAAGACTTCTCCGTACTAAGGGTCAATAAGATGAAGGAACAGATCATAACTCGAGCAGGAAGACGTCCAATTGGTTTCGCTGATCGCCATTAATGACATGAAATCGAGTTATGGACATTAATTACAATCATACGACGTTAATTTCTAATGTGATTTCAGTTCAATATTTCTGTATGTATTAGTCATTATTCTATCTATCTATCTATCTATCTATCTATCTATCTATCTATCTCTCTCTCTCTCTCTATATATATATATATATATATATATATCATTTCTCAGTCTGCTTCTATCTATATATATATCAATCTATCTATCTATCTATCTATCTATCTATCTATCTATCCGGTATATAACCTCCTTTACGACATCTCAGTCCTTTACATATCATCTATCTATCTATCTATCTATCTATCTATCTATCTGTCTTGTTCTGATTGATCTATCTATCTATCTATCTATCTATCATCTTCTATCATCTATCTATCTATCTATTTCTTTCTCATCTACTTATATCTATCTATCTATCTATCTATCTATCTATCTATCCTACGGTCATATAACGTTAAAACACCGGTTCCTGTAAGATCACTGAAGTTAAGCAACGGTGAGCCTGGTCAGTATCTAGATAGGTGACTTCTTGGGAATGTCAGCTGCTGTAAACTTGGATGTACGAGTGGTGTAATTTATAATGGCTCTGAATTGTTCATCGGGGAGCCGGTTTCCAATTCCAGTCGGGTATGTTATATTAATTCATGGACAAACACCCTTGGGTGAGATATGAATCCACCCCTTTGCTCCCCAGCTATGGGTTAATTAGTAGGAATTACTTCATTATATTATTATTATTTATCTGTATCAATCAGCTTATATGTATCAATCTCAATATATTTCAATTGTTTATCTATCTCAGTATGTTTATAAATTTCTATCTATCTATCTATCTATCTATCTCAATCTCTTCATATGTGTCATTTCTCAGTCTGCTTCTATCTATCTATCTATCTATCTATCTATCTATCTATCTATCTATCTCAGACTGTTCCTATCAACCTATCTCAATTTAGACTTAACCTACTTCCCAGCTTCAAATATAGAACACTCGGTGAGGATCAACATCAAATTGAATAACTCGAGTGCTCTCGATTTAATTACTAACTGTTGATCTCCGTCTGAGTTGTTTTTTCTTTTGCCAGCCAACGCCATAGAAATCTTTTGTGACTATTTTAAGTGTTGTTGTTATATTGACGAAATTGTATTACGAAAAATGAAATAAACATTGAAACCATTGCAGGATTATCATAAAAAAAAAGAAAAAAAAGTAGTATTTTATAATTCTCTCTCCTTTATCTATCTATCTATCTATCTATCTATCTATGACGTCACTTCATCTTTTTCTTTATACACACACACACACACACACACACACATTTTTTAAACTATAGCTGAAAATACATTTATGTCTTGTTTAAAATGTATTGGATTCTTTAATCTTGCGATATCTATCCATCTGTGTTAGTCTTTTCAGATTCCGATCTATCTATCTATCTATCTATCTATCTATCTATCTATCTATCTATCTATCTATCTATCTATCTATCTATCTATCACACTCTCTTTCTTTCTACTTGATTTCTAATGTGTCATGAGTCCTTACCTATAACTACAGAATGAACTCTTCCTAACACTATGTATACTACGCCTACATGTATATCCAGACGCTTTATGTTACACCTATTTGACTACAGCTCTATTAGAATACATTTAAATACACGAACTTACCAGACTCCATCTGAAACATACTGGTAGAAAAGAGAAACATAATAACCTCATCCACATGTAAAAAGCGATTACAAATAATGGAAGCCTTAATAATAAAACAGAAAAAGCCAACACTTAATAATATTAACTACGAACACTGCCACAATATGCTAACCGTGTTCGGAAAATAAAACTTCCCTGTAACTCTAAAAACACACACACAATCCATACACCTAATTAAAAAGTAAAAATAAAATCGTCTTTGATAATGGCTAAAAGTATAACCGAAAGCGCTGGGAAATTATGGAATATTTGGACAGTTTCTACCCACTCTCTGTCCAAAAACGAAAACACTTATTCAAACACAAGAAAAATTAAATAAAAAGCTTAACCGTAGCCCCTTGTATGTCTTCTTTAATGAAACATGTATAAATGAGGGATTGCTGCCTAAATACACACATATATATATATATATATATATAGTTGAATATTTTTCTAAGTTTTATTTTAAACTTATTGATTCCCTTCAATCACGTCGTACCCTATGTATAGAGAGCTCTAAATGTAGTTAGGCACAATTTAAAGATTGCGTGTAAAGCAGCAAGTATTATCTATAGCACCAAATGTCGTGGAATGTGCTAAAGAAGGCCGTAGAGATAATTAACCGAAACTTCATTTTAACAACAACCGTACAACTCTAATTATGATAATGTCTGTTCTGAGAATTACAGGAAGCATTTGCGAAAGGTCATAGAATGGGTCTGTTAGTACAATGTGTGAATAGCATAAACGACACAAAATGAGTCTTGTTGGCTGAATGATGCTTGAAATGATAATGCATGATATTGGCCACACTGTGTGTGGTTGCACCAATTAGTAGTAGATATAATAGTCTTAAGTTATTAGAATTCTTCGTCTAACCGAAGAATTATCATTATAAATGCTGGATCAATTTAGCTTTGATTTCATTTTGGTTGCAAGCCATCAGCATGGATAAGAATTAAAGAAGCAGTCTCTAATGAGAGTTTAACACCACAATGGATATTTATTGCATAAAAATACAATTATGGCACAAGGCCGAAAAAAGTGGGGGTTGAGGCTGGTCTTCACTAGCTATCCTATACCTAGCTAATCCCATTCACTACCCATTCACTCATTACAATTTTACACATTCACCACAAGAACTCGTCAGTCGTCAACCAATCCACCATACACCATAATACCACATCCTCTCAAGGGAGACCTATAAAACGCGCTCCATGCCATAAAATTTAATGATAATAACTTATATATACAATTCTAAAGATGGAAAATGAGAGGGAAGGGAGATGAAGCCAATAACAAACTAAACATAAACACAAAGTAAACTAAACTTAACTGATGTTCGTAGGGCCCGTTCAACCCTAAAAAAAGACCAAAATGTTTCTTTTTCAATGGATTCGAAGCAGGCCAATGGATCAGCAATAAGAATGTAAGTTAAGCATCGTAGAGCCAGGTCAGTACTTAGATGTGGGACCGCTTGGGAACACCTGGTACTGTAAGCCCCAAAGTCCAACCCTTACCTCACAGTCGGTGGGGGGTGTAAACGGTAGTGTCAGAGCTATGCCGCCGGAACTTCGTTCCTGGTAGGGCCACCAAAGGCGGACAGGTCTGACACACACGCCGGCTAACAAGGGCTTTGGTGAAAATCCAAGGAGCGTCTGCATCGGTAACCGGCGGCTTCTGGTCGTTTCTGCCTCTGCGTCTGTGGGAACCCCGCGGCAAGCAAGAACGTTATCCGAGTAGGCCTGGGTACCCTACTTCTGTAATTTATCCCAAGAATCTTCTTCTCATAACAGGAAGAAGCCGGTTCAATCCGCCCAGGGTGAATGCCGCATCAGTACAGTACAGTACAATAAGAATGTGACCCAAAGTCTGCAGTATGATAATATCTCTCCTCAAAACGATACAAGGTAGCTTTGAACTTTTGGAACTGATCGATGAATGGATCAGTTGAAATGTATTAACAACAACAACAAAAGCCATGGAAAGAATGACTCCTAAAGTCTGTAGAACTCTTAGAATGATATCTCTTTTCAAACTGACAGAAGTTAGATTTGTATTCTTGGAAACGGATGAAGAATAGATCATCTGAAATATAGTAACATCAACAAAGGTAAGAAAAACAATGACTGCCAAAGTCTCTTCAACTCTTGGAAGAATAATAACGCTTCTAAAATTAATAGAATATAGCTTTATACTCTTGCCTAACTGGCTGAAGAATGGTTTGATTTTTTACGGCTTATCAACCTTAATGGGTTATTGAATACCGACAATATTTTTAGTGCTGGTAATTTTTTTTTTCAAAAATATATTGCTGGTAATATTTTTTTTTTTTCAAAACTGTATTGCTGGTAATATTTTCACTTCAAAAATGTATTGCTGGTAATAATGTATTGCTGATAATAATTAAAAAAAAATGTATTGCTGATAATATTTTTCCTTCCAAAATGTATTGCTGGTAATAAATTTTCTTAAAAAATGTATTGCTGGTATTAAAACCTATTTTTACGCGTACATAGAATTTTAACCACAGTTTGGGTTTTGCTGTTCGGGCCTAACAGCAATTAAGAGCCAGTTTCACGCTCTTCAAAACCTATTTATTAGAGGCCTTGCTGTTGGACATTTATTGTCTTAACTGGAACGCGGACGGGTTCGTGGGTAACTATTTGCCCATAGCTTTGACCCTAACAGGTGCTAGCATCCCAGGTCAGGGTGGAGCTGGGAACATCAGCAATTAAGAGGTGCTTCCACGTTCTTCAAAACCTCATCTAGGCCTTGCTGTCGGATGTAGTTTATCTTCTTACCCAGGACGCGGATTCAGTTTATCGTCATACCCAGGATACGGGCTGAAGAATGGATCGGCTGAAATATGGTAATAACAAGAAAAGCAACAAAAAGAAAGAGTTTATTATTAAGTCTTTTTACTCCACCACTGTGCAACCGATGGCTGGGCATTATGTCATTTTTCTCTACTACCAGTAAAGCAGTGGTCAGGGCACAGAGGGTTAAGGACTATTTCTTAAGATAATCATATTAATAAAACCTCAAAGAGAGGGCAATAAATTGGATGCTGTCAGAGACCTAAAGCCTCACTGGAAATTAATTAAACCAATAAAGATAAGCGAACAATTCAATGGACTTGATACTACAACAAGCAGAAGTAACTAATTTAAATTAAAGATAAAATTGTTTCAGGCATGGTAGAGTGTTGGCAAAACAAGAGATATCAAAGATACAAGCTGCTAACAAAATTAATAATTTTCATGAAGATTAAATGGTCTTACACTTGATCCCGATAAATTTATAGAACTAGGGAGATAGACTAACCAAATTAATATGCATTTGTATTTCAAAAAAGTGTGTCTAAGAAGAGCATAAATCTTCTAATGTTTCAATTTTCTTCGTTTATGTGTTGCATTCCTTCTTTTACGTGACGTGTCGCTTGACGATGTTTGCCAATCATGGCTTAGATTCTATCCATTATATTGCTCTAGATATCTTTTGAATCTTAGTTCTCCATCTGCTATCCATTCTCAGAGCTGTCTTCTCCCATTGTGTATCCCCAAAATTCCGACTGTACTGTACTGTACTGTACTGATGCGGCATTCACCCTGGGCGGATTGAGCCGGCTTCTTCCTGTTATGAGAAGAAGATTCTTGGGATAAATTACAGAAGTAGGGTACCCAGGCCTACTCGAATAACGTTCCCACAGACGCAGAGACATGAACGACCAGAAGCCGCCGGTTACCGATGCAGACGCTCCTTGGATTTTCACCAGAGCCCTTGTTAGCCGGCGTGTGTGTCAGACCTGTCCGCCTTGGGTGGCCCTACCAGGAACGAAGTTCTGGGCGGCATAGCTCTGACACTACCGTTTACACCCCCCCACCGACTGTGAGGTAAGGGTTGGACTTTGGGGGCTTACAGTACCAGGTGTTCCCAAGCGGTCCCCTATCTAAGTACTGACCTGGCTCTACGATGCTTAACTTCGGTGATCGAACGAGAACCGGTGTTTCAGCGTGATTTGATCGTAAGCCCTAAATTCCGACTGTCACCTTCTGATTATAAGTACAGGTAAAAAGGACTTTTTGTTCCCCCTTTCCATTAAGACTTCCTCATTTGCTCACACGTTCTCTCCACGGTATATTCAGTACCTTTTGTCGAACAATACTTCTCTTTCATGTCTCTTTTAGACTTACAGCCATATAACGTGGAAACACCGGTTCACGTACGATCACTGAAGTTAAGCAATGGTGAACCTGGTGAGTATCTGGATAGGTGACTACTTGGGAATGCCAGATGATGTAAACTTGGATGTACAAGTGGCGTAATGGATAATGGCTCGGAATTGTTCATCGGAGAACTGAGTTTTAATTCCAGTCGGGTTTGTTATATTCATTTATAGGCAAATATCCTTGGGTAAGATATGAATCCACCCGTTCTCTCCCCAGCTATGGGTTACTTAGTAGGAATTTCATCATTAAATCATTATTATCTATCTATATCAATCAGCTTATATGTATCTATCTATTTCTATCTTTTTATCTATCTCAGTATGTTTATATATTTCTATCTATCTATCTATCTATCTATCTATCTATCTATCTATCAACCTCTTCATATGTATCATTTCTCAACTCTGCTTCTATCTATCTATCTATCTATCAACCTCTTCATATGTATCATTTCTCAACTCTGCTTCTATCTATCTATCTATCTATCTATCTATCTATCTATCTATCAACCTCTTCATATGTATCATTTCTCAACTCTGCTTCTATCTATCTATCTATCTATCTATCTATCTATCTATCTATCTATCTTAGTCTGTTCATATCTATCTATCTATCTATCTATCTATCTATCTATCTATCAACCTCTTCATATGTATCATTTCTCAACTCTGCTTCTATCTATCTATCTATCTATCTATCTATCTATCTATCTATCTATCTCAGTCTGTTAATATCTATCTATCTATCTATCTATCTATCTATCTATCTATCTATCTATCTATCTATCTATCTATCTTCAACCTCTTCATATGTATCATTTCTCAACTCTGCTTCTATCTATCTATCTATCTATCTATCTATCTATCTATCTATCTATCTATCTATCTATCTATCCCCTTGTGCAAATTAATTGAAACAAAACGAATGATTCCATTATTATTTATTCTTTCATATTTTTCCAATGAAACATGACCCATTGCACATGTTAGTACTTCGTATGTCCATTCCACAAAGTCATTCCTTGCAAACTGACCACAGATTCTCGATTGGATTTAAATCAGGAGAGTTTCCGGGTCAATCTATAGTACCTTGATTTGCTCACTGGTAAGGCTTGCCAGTGTGTTCGTGCAGTGTTACAATTTTTATACGCTTTCTTGGGGTAACGTCCATCGCAGACAATGGCCGTAGGACAACTATTCGACAGACGAGATAGTAATGTCTGAGCATGATAAAAATCTGATACAATCACGGACGATGCAATACTTTTCAAGGATAAAGAAATTTCATCATACACCCCAAAACTAGATTCATATTACTACACACCAATGCAAATGACCTAATCGGAAGGAAAAATAGAAATCGATTACACTCTTTCACTCCAGTGGGTCTAAAACTGGCTGTATGGTGAAAAAAAAAAGTAAACTAAAGCGGTTGTTTCAATTAATTAATTATATATATATATATATATATATATATATATATATATGGGAAAATATGTGTATTAAACGTAAGAATACAAAGTGAAATGAAGATTAG